TCTTGTCTCTGAAGACTGTTGATATCCCAAACAAGCCTTTTTTTTTTTAACCAGGTTTTTATTATCACAATTATTAATAGCATGAAGTCTAATCATTTTTCCAAATGTTGCACTTTGTCCAGAATATTATTATATGTGCCAGCACAAAGGTGGAGTATATTTAGACTAAAAAGTAGGTATCCGTTTTTTTTTCTGATGCTGTCAAAAAGGAAGAAAAAAAAAGCGGAGACCTACTTGTTGGTCAAGTTTATATTATGATGAATTATGGCAAAGGGTTATCTCTCAAACTAACCAATTAATCGGATTTTTCATGGAGATTTGCTACAACACTGACGAATGTTACATAACTCGATTAAAAGCACCATTGACGCCTACTCAGGAAATGAGATCGCTACTGAGTTTAACATCATGGCTAGTGCACAGAATTCTGATGCTTTTTGAAAGATCACTTGTACTACGACCATTATTTAGTTTACTTCTTTTTTGTCATTGTTCGTAATTGTATTATTTCTCAGTAAAAAAAAAAAAACAACACTATTTAAAGTTGAGCAAGGAGTTTAACAAATATTTCACTATTAATGTACTGTTACATGATTAAACGGATTACATTATTTTATTATATATAACAACACCATGTTCACGCGTACTAACAGGATTTTGTTACCATAAATACATATTTGAATGGTAACGGGTCAAAAAGAACCGGTACGAAAAAGGCCTGGGTTGAAAAGGCCTGGTCCAGAAAGGCCCGGGTTGAAAAGGCCTGGTCCAGAAAGACCAGTAACGAGTTTATATGAACATAGATTTTCAATTATAAGTGATATATTTTTATGTTATCGACCTTACACAAACAAGAGGAATGCAGAATGGGAAAGAAGGGTTTATTATACAAGTGGAAAGCAGTCTTGGCCATAGGTGTGGAAAAAAATGTGTATTCTTCCAATGCAGTTACACACAAAATCAAATGTGCATAATAAACGGTGCTGGAAACATTGAATGACAAAGCGTAAACATATCTTTAATGTTATTTCATTTGGTAATTAATTTCTTACTTTTCACAGATGAACAAAACAAAAGAGTAAAATAAAAACCTGATGATTGTTTTAGTACCCATGTTAATATAATTTTACAATATAGATATAAGAGCTCTACAACGGTATAAAGCAAGGATTTTAAAACGAATACTTTTTGCTACCAATATTGAAACAATTTTGCCGTATAACTGTCAGAGATGAGCACTGATAGAAAACAAATGAATTATTCCCCATGTTATTTATTCCCAAGCGTAGGATCATCTAATAGAATGAAAAAAAAAAATGTATTCGGATACGCACTAAACATATTCAATCAAGGAAAAGGTATTTAGCGATCTATTTGACAATATGAACCCTCTACTTGCTCAAAAATGACTGTGATAAAATGTGGGAGATGCGCATTTGGCTATAGCACCCCGTTTAGGCATTTTGGGGTTTGTGTGATTGCTTGTTAGATTGTTGAAATTTGGTGCAATGGGAAATATTCCTTAACCCAAAATAATTAGCCAATTAATAGGAGCAAACGTCACGGAGAGAAAGTGTTAGGGAGTTTACATGATGCCATGGTCAATGAGTAGCAAATTCAGACCCAAACCGCATGACTGTCCCTGTCATAATGTATGACCTATTAAAATCTATTGGTATACATTGGCGTTGTGACTGCAGTGGTAGTATTTAGGGCAGAAAACCGGTAAATTACAAAATAGAATAAACAAGAAGGGACCTGGAAGATACCGTTTATGTCACCATGGTTGCAGATATGATGCAGTTGTACTAACGTGATGTGCCTTGAACCATTGATTGACTGGCCTAAGGTGGCGTAGTTACAATAGTTCCCTGAGTTAGGGGATATTTGTAGAGTTTCTATGGCATGAACTGCTGACGTTACGGAAAGTTGATGAAGAGAAACTAAGCAAATGTGCTATTGATAGATACTTGGCAGGCTGTGAATAATGGTAGATATAGCTTACGAATGTTTTCATATAATGCTTTCAGTAAAATTTGGTCAAAAGTTCTTTATGACAGTTTTTTGGAGAAGCAGGTAATGTCGACCAAAACTTATTTATTTTTAATAACACTGGCTATATATGACAACAGGTCAGCATCAGTTGTAAAAATTTTTAGGGCCTCCATGCCAGCATTCTTTCTGTCAAATATGATAAGGATTTGTTCAATAATTTCAGAAAAGAAGTCATTTTAATTTTTTTTAACTTTAGTAAAGGTGAGCATATTTGAAAGCATATAAGAGATATACAATGCTTAAAGGTCCTTTCAAAAAATTGATTATTTGTTCTAAGGCTAATTTATAGAAAGAAAAAGCATCAATCACAATAAAAAAATAAGCGAGGCCCTTGAGTGTCTAAAGTGCTGTCCGTTACGGATCACTGCCATCTAACCTCTGTCTGCATGAGTTTGAGTCTAGGATTCGGTGAATGTGGATATGTGAGAAAGCTAGCCAGTAGCTTCTCATGGGTTGGTGGTTCTTTCCTGGTTTCTTCCTCCACCAATAATACTGGCTGCCATGAATAGCCTATCGTGTGCTGAAAAATGGCTTTAAGCCCAACAACAACAACAACAACAAGAAAATAAGCATATACTATAATATTTCTTAAATGGTTTATCAACAAGCATTTAGATATTAATGATTTACCTTAAAAGCTAGCATTTCTTATCTTATACACTTCCTTAAGGAAGTAAACATACAAGTTATAACTTTTATGTTATCATCTTAAACATTTTGATGTGCTATATATGTACAGTCACTAGATTTTAATTACCTTTCATATATTTTGGTTGTCATACATTATTTGCAATCCCCGTTGATAGGAAAACTTTATTTTTTTATCACCGCTACCATTTTTATCATTTTACCTTTAGCTATTCGATTTCGTATCACTGGCCAATACAGAACCTTTTTACCATTTGTACATAAGGAAAGATATAACCTTTTGTATGGTGCTAAATGGCCTCTTTGTGCTGATGCGCTGTAAAAATTCAACCAACCAACCAACCTTAAAAGCTGGTTCTTTTTTTTTTGTACAAAGGACTCTGATTAGCCTATGATTAGCCTATTGTCAGGCAGTCTGTTTCTGCCAGTCTGTGTCAGCACGAATATCTAGTATTATTGTCAGTGAGTCTGTGTCAGCACGCATTTCTAGTATTGTTGTCAGTCAGTCTGTGTCAGCACGCATTTCTAGTATTGTTGTCAGTGAGTCTGTGTCAGCACGCATTTCTAGTATTGTTGTCAGTCAGTCGGTGTCAGCACGCATTTCTAGTATTGTTGTCAGCCAGTCTGTGCCAGCACGCATTTCTAGTATTGTTGTCAGCCAGTCTGTGTCAGCACGCATTTCTAGTATTGTGGTCAGTTAGTCTGTGTCAGCATGCATTTCTAGTATTGTTGTCAGTCAGTCTGTGTCAGCATGCATTTCTAGTATTGTTGTCAGTCAGTCTGTGTCAGCACGCATTTCTAGTATTGTTGTCAGCCAGTCTGTGTCAGCACGCATTTCTAGTATTGTTGTCAGCCAGTCTGTGTCAGCACGCATTTCTAGTATTGTTGTCAGCCAGTCTGTGTCAGCACGCATTTCTAGTATTGTTGTCAGCCAGTCTGTGTCAGCACGCATTTCTAGTATTGTTTCAGAAGTGCATGCTCTTGAGACATTTTCTTACTGACAAGCCTACTACTGTATTTGCTTGCCATAAATAACCACAATTTAACAGAAATTTAGCAACTAAACTACATTTCCAAGTTTGCAATGAGTTTCAGTTTTATGGGTTTTCAAAAGTGTCCAATTAGTTCATGAGACTGAAATGTGTTGTGGTTATTGGTTTACTGGGGAAAGAATGATGCTGTTAATGTGAAGGAGCCCCTCTCCCCCACCAAGTCTGATATTGATGGGATTCTGCTTTACCTTGGGTTCAGTTTTTAAAGGTTTCACGGTATTTGTTTTCTGACATCATGGTGTGCTTATATTTTGCACAGCTTTTTGTACAATACTAAAGAGAAATAGGAGCAGCTGTTCAGGTATTAACCATACCCCACTGAAATGTATACCACTGTTCATTTGAATGTCTTGGTCTTTTTATTTTTATTTGCTGTTGCTGATGCTGTTATTGGTATTGGCCAGTGCTATTAACATAAAGAAAATTATATCTGGAGCCTTTGATTGGTTGGTTAAGACAAGCTCTCAAGTATGGTTACTGACAAGGGGTCATCTGGTATCGGATGGTTAAGACAATAGCTGGAATAGATCACTGATATTGTAGGACACATGGTACTTATTATATGGAAGAACTCTGAACCAGTCTAGAATAGGATGAAGAATGAGTAGAGTATATACGGGTTTGGTTGTCAATAATTGGTTAATAATGAAACTTAAAATTTTAGTAAAAATATTATTGGAAAGCTTAACCTATGTGTAATTTTAAACAAAATATAGACAAAATTTTATTGATTTTTACAGACTTGACTTAGGATTACTCAATAATGAAAGTAGCACTTGATTCGTTTGGTGCAGAATCAATAACATGTTTCATGCACATGTAGGTCAAAAACTGCTGTGGCTCATATGGTGTTCACACAGAAGCTTGCACCAAGGATAGTTGTGCATGGAGAAATATAGGTCTGATCATCAGTACCCAGAAATTTTAAGTTATTGAATTTTAAATATGATGGTGTTTCCATCTGTTTACTATGGGAGTTGAATTAGTACTGTGACTCCTGTATAGTGTTGTATGATTTGGATTTGTTTACATAGCTTTAACAATATTTCAGTCATATTGCTACAATGTCTGCAGTAATGCAGTTTATAGTAATGTCCAGCACTGGGGCTTCATGCTGTGGACATGTAGAATGATGTCCCACCAAGTCACATTATCCTCACACCAAGATGAGCAGTCCTAACACTAACCTCTTAATTCTGAATGCCAAGCAAAGCAGCTGTTAGTACATTTTATAAATCTCTAGTATGACTCAGCCGGGGTTTGAACCTGCAACCTCTTGCATCTAAGGCGGATGCTCTAACCACTAGGTCACTGGATCATTGATTGTATAGTAAACATTCCTTCACTTTACGGCTGATCAGCAGAGCCATAGAAGTGTACAAGATGGCATGATACAAAAGTACATTATCAGTTCTATTTAATAATATGGCATATGTTGTATACAAAACAAGGGCCCCAGGTGGGCAAGTGATCTAAAGTATCGCCTTTATTGATCACTGCTATCTCAGTTATCTACATGGGTTTTGAGTCTCAGGCACAGCCAACACGGGTATGTGAGAAAGCTTGCTAACTTCCCATGACTAGGTGGTTCTTGCCAGGATTTTTCAGAATTCTTCCTCCTCCAATTATAATGGCACCATGTATAGCAAATCATGTGCTAAAAAATGGCATTAAGCACTCAACTACCATGCAAAACAGCAATACAAGATGTCATGTTTATTATGATATACATTATAATAGTTACGATATTGCCATGGTTTTTAATTTTATTAATTAATTGCCATTACTATACATTCATTATTATTTGTGGGGTTTCAGTTGCAATGATTTTGTTGATAGCACTGATGAAGAACAATAGATTTTATCAATTTGTCAGAGATGTAGCCAACTGTGACAGATCCTAAAATAACCTATTTTCTGTAAGAAAAAAACCCACAAAATTTCATACCTATTAAAAGTAATGAATTTACAGAAATAATTGGACTGGTGACCAGTGCTAGCAAAAGTAAATCAGCATTAGCAGGTGTTGTATTAAATAGTAATTTATAAAATAACATTGGATTGGGGACTTATACCAGATATTATATTAAATAGTAATTTATAAAATAACATTGGACTGGGGACTTACACCAGATATTGTGTTAAATAGTAATTTAGAAAACAAAATTGGAATGGAGACTTATACCAAATTAGAAAAAAAAACCATTGGACTGGGGACTTACACCAAAAATTGTGTTAAATAGTAATTTAGAAAACAACATTGGACTGGGGACTTTTACAAAGTAATGTTAAATAGCAAGTTTCCAAAACAAGTATTAGACTGAGCACTTCTACAGTGGACTAGATATGTATAATATGTTCAAGTTTAATAACACAATGGACTAGTTATGTGTTATGTATTAAAGAGTAATTTTGACAGTGGAATAGTTATTTATAATGTGTTAAAAAATAATTTTGACAGTGGACTAGTTATGTGTAATGTGTTAAAAAGTAATTTTGACAGTGGACTAGTTATGTGTATGTGTTAAAAAGTAATTTTGACAGTGGACTAGTTATGTGTATGTGTTAAAAAGTAATTTTGACAGTGGACTAGTCCATGGAAGTAAAGTAATAATAGCAGACATAGTAATACAGCTATTATCAAGTACTGTATTGAGAAAATAATGTCCATCCAATATCATAGGATCTACAAAGTATACATACATTATATCCAATAGTTGCATTAAACTAAGGTACTTTAAAGTGAAGCATCATTTTACATGACACTGGAGGAAGCATGCATACAAATGAAAAGAAACATTTTTTGCCAATTCACTACTACTGGATGAATACTTTAACTGTCTGTTGATATACACATAGTTTTAATATTTATCAGTAATGAGTAATTTTTGTCCAGCTGAATGAGAACCTTTGTGTCATTTCTAAGTTTGGGAACATTATTTTGACTAGAGCTGAAAAATGATCTGCAACCATAAATGGGAGATTATGTTCAGCTATAACGTTGGCAAACAGTGTCTGAAATTGCCGTTTCCTTCCATCAATTAATGTTGTGTCATATTTCTGTTACTTAGATTTTGGCAATGGAAGATAATGCATGGTCAGACACTTTGACAAAAACTAAACACTGACGCCAAACTAACCCTGTTTTATGCAGAGTTTTTTTAGTAATTAAACCATAAAAAAACTAATCTATTTAATCCTTTCATATTTACTACAGATCACACATATTACAATCCATGCTGACAAACTACAATCAATGAACCTAACCAACCCTGCAGACAGAATCAAAAAGTTTTAATTGTTCTATTCTGTTTGAAATTAGCAACTAAATTGTCTTTTCCTGTTTAAGCTAGTTCTGTCATGTGATAAAAGGCAGCATTACTGTAATCATCACATTGTAGAATTTAAAATAGAAAAAAAAAATTTTTTAAAACAATTTTGTATACACAGAAGACTTTACTAAGTGACAGGAGCAACAGGAAGAACTCCCTCTGTTCAAGAAGGTTCATACTTATACAGACTATCTACATTAAATAAAATTTATTTCATCTTCTGCCTACCTTACAAGACACAGCATCCAGTTTCTGCCATCCAGTGGCTAAGACTATGGATTTACCCTTAAACCTATACTCAGATTCTCTTTAGCCCAAAGAGATTCTCTTTAACCCATACACAGACTCTCTTTAGCCCATACACAGATTCTCTTTAACCCACACAGGTTCTCTTTAACCCATACACAGATTCTCTTTAACCCATACAAATTCTCTTTCACCCATATAGATTCTCTTTAACCCATACAAATTCTCTTTCACCCATATACAGATTCTCTTTAACCCACAGATTCTTTTTAACACATATATTCTCTTTAACCCACACACAGATTCTCTTTCACCCATACACAGATTCTCTTTAACCCATAATATTCTCTTTAACCCATACAGATTATCTTTCACCCATATAGATTCTCTTTAACCCATACAAATTCTCTTTCACCCATGCACAGATTCTTTTTAATCCATAAAGATTCTCTTTAACCCACAGATTCTCTTTAACACATAAAGATTCTCTTTAACCAACACACAGATTCTCTTTAACACATAAAGATTCTCTTAAACCCATACACAGATTCTCTTTCACCCATGCAGATTCTCTTTAACACATAAAGATTCTCTTTAACCCATAAAGATTCTCTTTAACCAACACACAGATTCTCTTTAACACATAAAGATTCTCTTAAACCCATACACAGATTCTCTTTCACCCATGCAGATTCTCTTTAACACATAAAGATTCTCTTTAACCCATAAAGATTCTCTTTAACCAACACACAGATTCTCTTTAACACATAAAGATTCTTTTAAACCCATACACAGATTCTCTTTCACCCATGCAGATTCTCTTTAACCAATACAGATTCTCTTTATCCCATACAGATTCTCTTTCACCCACACAGATTCTCTTTAACACATAAAGATTCTCTTTAACCCATACACAGATTCTCTTTCACCCATGCAGATTCTCTTTAACCAATACAGATTCTCTTTATCCCATACAGATTCTCTTTCACCCACACAGATTCTCTTTAACACATAAAGATTCTCTTTAGCCCATACACAAATCCTCTTCATATTTGGGACAAATTTTTATGAAGCTAAAGCAAAGATTTGCTCTGCAACACATTTGTAGATCTTTTACTCCTGAGTTAGACAGGCAGACCTGGTTTTCTTGTTCTCTTTACTGTGCTGCAATTTGATTGACATGAAGAACAGTTCTAAGATAACTGACTGATGCTTATGGAAAATATTAAATGTGTGTGTATGTTTGACATGGATAAGTGCACAAAAGGAAAACTGAATAGTAATACTTACTATATTCTTATCATTTTATTGTAGAAAAATACATCTTTACAATAAACATACAGTATTGTATAAATTACATATATAACTCGACACATATCTTCATGCAAAGCATATACCATGCAGATTTTTCTTTTGGAAGTCACTATTTCTTTATTGTAATAAATTTATATTTTAATGACTTTTTTGCAAACTTTCCATGATTGAAATTAGCTTTCCAAATCAGTTATTTCAAATGCTATATGTAAAATTATTCAACAGGATGCAATGCTCTACAAAGAGGATAACCTGATGTCCAAGAATTGTCTCAATCTGACATGGACTGCCTCTTCCTCTAACAACTATCTACCCGATGTCTAAGAAATTGTCTCAATCTGACATGGGCTGCCTCTTCCTCTAACAAATATCTACTTGATATCCAAGAACTGTCTCAATCTGACAAGAGTTGCCTCTTCCTCTAACAACTATCTACTCGATGTCCAAGAATTGTCTCAATCTGACATGAGCTACCTCTTCCTCTAACAACTATCTACCTGATGTCCAAAGAACTGTCTCAATCTGACATGGGCTGCCTCTTCCTCTAACAACTATCTACCTGATGTCCAAGAACTGTCTCAATCTGACATAAGCTACCTCTTCCTCTAACAACAATCTACTTGATGTCCAAAGAACTGTCTCAATCTGACATGGGCTGCCTCTTCCTCTAACAACCATCTACCTGATATCCAAGAACTGTCTCAATCTGACATGGGCTACCTCTTCCTCTAACAACTATCTACCTGATGTCCAAGAACTGTCTCAATCTGACATGGGCTACCTCTTCCTCTAATAATTATCTACCTGATGTCCAAGAACTGTCTCAATCTAGCATGGGCTGCCTCTTTCTCTAACAACTATCTACCTGATGTCCAAGAACTGTCTCAATCTGACATGGGCTACCGCTTCCTCTAATAACTATCTACCCGATGTCCAAGAATTGTCTCAATCTGACATTGGCTGCCTCTTCCTCTAACAACTATCTACCTGATGTCCAAGAACTGTCTCAATCTGACATGGGCTGCCTCTTCCTCTAACAACTATCTACCTGATGTCCAAGAACTGTCTCAATCTGACATGGGCTGCCTCTTCCTCTAACAACTATCTACCTGATGTCCAAGAACTGTCTCAATCTAACATGGGCTGCCTCTTCCTCTAACAACTATCTACCTGATGTCCAAGAACTGTCTCAATCTGACATGGGCTACCTCTTCCTCTAAAAACTATCTACCTGATGTCCAAGAACTGTGTCAATCTGACATGGGCTACCTCTTCCTCTAACAACTATCTACCTGATGTCTAAGAACTGTCTCAATCTGACATGGGCTACCTCTTCCTCTAATAACTATCTACCTGATGTCTAAGAACTGTCTCAATCTGACATGGGCTACCGCTTCCTCTAATAACTATCTACCTGATGTCCAAG